TCCTAAGAGCTCTTTCCTATATCTTTTTTTTTTTTAATAGCATTCAGTTCTTTTTTCAGAGATGTAATATTTTCACTTATCTCCCTGAAGTTGTTACAGTTTAGGTTTTCTTTTGTTCCCTAAGTGTCTTCTGATCCCTCCTCCAAATTTTTTCCTTAGTATTTTGTTGTTTTTGAGTGGGGGGTTGACCATTGTCTTGTTGGAAATTTTCCTTGAATGTCTGGTGATCCTTGGCTATTTGTTCATAATTAAAACAATTAAACACCTGAAGGAAGCTCTCTGCATGAATGAAGCTTATCAACTGCTAATCTTCACCACAAGATGATGGAGTAGCAAGCTGGCTTCTCTCTGGAGCCATTTCAAATAATTTTCCAAATCTCTGCCAGGAAAGCCGTACATGTGTGACTACCAGTGTTGCTTCTCACAGCTGGGAAGTACTACCCTTTAGCATGCAGAATTCAATTTAATTCCCTTTTTTTCAACTTGGGCCTAACAGCTCAGATGATTCTAAAGCCTCTTCATCTGTTCAGTTTTCCCAGAGAAAAAGTCTCCAATACTCTGCTAAGAAAAGGTAAAGTCACCTAGTGGTAAAAGAGATTGGGACCTAACTGTTCCTTAGAATAGTCTTTTTCTTCTTTCCCACCCTACCTGGCACCTAGTATATCCAAGTTTTGGGCCTTCTGGAGTTCTGCTGGGAGACTCAACCAGTATAACCCCTCTTCAGGAACTTAGGTAGTGGTCCCCCTGCTCTGAGTCAGTGATCACTTCTCCACCAACTTAAAATCTTCCAAAAATTTTCTGATATCTCTCAGCATTGTTTCCTCTCCTACTCACTTTGCCCTTGTGGATTAACATCATTTTCTTTCCTTATTGTTGCTTTAGTGGGATATGGAAAGCACCAACAGAGATAAATTCATGTTCTCAATCTGCCATGTTTAAACAAATATCTCAAATAATCTTATTTAAATTACTTGTTTATTCTTTTCTCCTCCAGATTAGACATTGCTTTAAAACAGGAACTTTGTTTTTCTCATTTTTGCATCTCTAGCATATAACCCATAGAATATTTACTGAATATATGTCTCAATGATAAATTATAACAGTAATATACGGTACAGATGGCATGGAAAGATTTCAAGTAAGGCAGTTCCAAAACTTAAAAGCTGCACCAAAATAAATTACTTAGTCCCTCTGAACCTTAGAGTCAGATAATTGAATGGATATATAAAAATCCATTACATGCTGAAAATTAAATAAAATAATGTAATATTTTTCAAACTGAAATTTGTACTTATTAGATTATGACCAAATCAATTTAGTAGGTTGTGAGCAGCACTTTTTTTTTTTTTTTTTTTTTTTTTGAGACAGTGTCTCACTCCCCTTACCCTGGCTGGAGTGTGGTGGCTCAAACAGGGCTCACTGCAGCCTCGACTTCCCAGGCTCAGGTGATCCTCCCACCTAGGCCTCCCGAGTGGTTGGGACTATAGATGTGTGCCACTAAGCCCACCTAATTTTTTGTATTTTTAGTAGAGATGGGGTTTTGCCAATAATGCCCAGGCTGTTCTCAAATCCTGGGCTCAAGAGATACACCCGCCTCGCCCTCCTAAAGTGCTGAGATTTCGGGCATGAGCTACCACATCCAGCCAAGCAAATTTTTTTTTTTTTTAAGATATACCTTAGGGATACCAAGAGTTCATCACATGCAATAAGCGTTGCTTTAACAAATTGTTTCAGTTGTTACAAATAAGTTTTGTATGTGTTTACTGGATTGTGATGTAAGATGTTATTTCATGAAATTACCATACATAAAAGTACTAAAAAACTGAAGTGCTAAATTATATGTTCTGACTATAAGGGCACCAGAATTTCAAAAAAGGTGACTGGTGTACTGGAGTAGTTTGAGGAAGTTTTAAGAAGGTATGGGACTCGGACTAGTTCTTGAAAGATAAGTAGCATTTAAGTAAATGAAAAGAGGGTATATCTGGAGATAGGCAGCATAAGCGAAGGGTGTGGCTTGCTGTCAGTCAGATGGCAGCCATGACTTAGTTGTGTTAAAACCTGTTGACGGCCGGGTACGGTGGCTCACACCTGTAATCCCAGCACTTTGGGAGGCCAAGGTGGGTGGATCACGAGGTCTGCAGGTTGAGACCATCCTGGCTAACACGGTGAAACCCCATCTCTACTAAAAAATACAAAAAATTAGCTGGGCGTGGTGGCGGGCACCTGTAGTCCCAGCTACTCGGGAAGCTGAGGCAGGAGAATGGCGTGAACCCGGGAGGCCGAGCTTGCAGTGAGCCGAGATCACGCCCCTGCACTCCAGCCTGGGCAACAGAGCGAGACTCTGTCTCAAAAAAAAAAAACAAAAAAACAAAAAAAACAAAACCTGTTGATATCCACCATAGGAATTCCAACTCATTTCCTACAGTGAATAATAAAACCTTGTTAAGAGAACTTCATATTGTCAAATTCAGCTATTTAAATTGAGAAACATAACAGAGGAACCCCAACAGCTGAGATCTATCAATGGAACTTTAAAGTATTACCTAGGCTGGGCACCGTGGCTCATGCTGGTAATCCCAATATTTTGGGAGGCTGAAGCAGAGGAATCACTTGAGGCCAGGAGTTTAAGACCAGCCTGGCAAACACGATGAAACCCTGTTTCTACTAAAAATATAAAAATTAGCCAGGTATGGTAGCGCACACCTATAATCCCAGCTGGTCAGAAGGCTGAGGCACGAGAATTGCTTGAACCCAGGAGGCAGAGGTTACAGTGAGCTGAGGCCGCACCACTGCACTCCATCCTGGGTGACACAGGAAGAATCTGTGTCAAAAAATAAAATAAACAAAAATACAAAAAGGAGCTAGACGTGATGGCACACACCTGTAATCCCACCTACTCGAGAGGCTGAGCAGAACCACTTGAACCTGGGAGGCAGAGGTTGCAGTGATCTGAGATCGCCCCACTGCACTCCAGACTAGGGGACAGAGTGAGACTCTGTCTCAAAAAATAAAAATAAAGTATTTTGATAAATTGTAACAGTAATATATGGTAGAAATGAGACCCATCTAGTAGTAAGTAGTGAGACCTGTCTCTACAAAAAAAAAAAAAAAAAAAAAATTAATTAGCCGGGTATGGTAGCATGCCTGTAGTCCTAGCTATTTGGGAGGATTGCTGGAGTCCACTAGTTCAAGGCTGCAGTGAGCTATGATTGCACCACTGCATTCCCATCTGGTTGACAGAGCAAAACCCTGTCTCCAAAAAAAAAAAAAAGTGTTACAGTGTTGTGTAGTCAATATTTCTCCCTCCTCCATCAGACTCTGCCCCACATTCCAGAAGACCAGACCCACAGGAAAGTACACTGGCCAAATAGGCACATCATTAATGGCACTACCCAAACTCCTCATCCCTTCCCTCTGGACTGTAACACCTACCCCACTTCTACCTCCCAACTTGAGGAAAAAGGAATACATCTATTTTCCAAAGGTTTAGACAACTGTGCTTTTCCATACAGCACATATAATCAGGCATTCAGCAGCCAGAGGAAGATCTGACTGCATTAATACCTTACTTCGAAAGATCTTACTGTCCACCTGTGATAGAAGCCTCCCCTTCTGTGAAACACTAGGATGATGTCCTTCTGCTTCATAAGGTATTGGTCCACTTTTCCATTTACATAGATATTTTTGGGTTTTGTTGAGACAAGGACTGACTCTACGGCCCAGGCTGGGGTGCGGTTGCGTGATCTCGGCTCACTGAAACCTTCATCTCCCAGGCTCAAGCAATCCTCCCACCTCAGCCTCCCGAGTAGCTGGCGTGTGCTACCATGCCCAGCTAGTTTTGGTATTTTTAATAGAAACGGGGTTTCACCATGTTGGCCAGGCTGGTATCGAACTCTTGACCTCAGGTGATCCACCCGCCTTGGCATCCCAAAGTGCTGGCATTACAGGCGTGAGCCACCGCTCCCGGCCTATTTACATGTTGGACTGAATTGCATACGCTCAGCCCACTGGTAAAATAATAAACATTTTAGGACTGTTTTCTCAGAAATAGCACTCTCCCTAAGAACTCTTTCACAAAGCATATCCATTTAGGATTGTTCAACTAACATTCACTGAAGGTCTTCAGGCATCAGGAACGATCAGGGTGAGGGGCACAGCAGCGAATAAGCCAGGTACCCAGCCTAGAGGAGCTGCCATGCTAAGGGGGCGCACAGACGCACACAGAGCTGCGGTACTGCCTAGTAAGCGTAAGTAGAGTTAAGTGTAAGACAGAGGTAAGCACAGTGCAAGGCTCTAGGGGAAAGTCAGGAGGATCCGAGGCGTCCTGCAGAAGATCCGATCTGAACGGATCCTTTCAGGATGCACAAAAGTTAACCAGGTGAAGACGCACGGTACAAACAGAACAGAAGCAACAGAGGCATTAGACAACTGAGTCGGGGGAGAAACGAAAGGCAGTTTGGCATTCAGAGAGCATGCGGGCAATGAGGGGAAAACGGCCGTGGGAGCCTGCGGCGTCCGGGTCCCAAGCAGTCACTGGAGGGACAGAGGGAGGCCGGACTCTGCCACTTGGGCCGAGGCGCTGGGCATCAGCAGCGTTTCTCCTCGCCATCCACATCTGGAGCTGTCTCTACGAGGGCTCCTGTGGGGGCTGTTCCTGGGAGGGTCGAGCAGACGGCATTCACGACCTGCCTCCCTCCGGGGCAAGCCAGCCCACACACCTCGGGACACCGCTCAGAATCTAAAGAGGTGAGATCCTTGGGTTATCTCGCGGCTGCTTCATGAACTCTGAGCAGAAGAAAAGGGAAGGAGGAAGCAGAAGGCCGCAGGAACCAGCCCGAGACGCTATGACCCCAGAGATTCCGCATATTACAAGCCACCAAGTCGCCACGCTGATGCCCCACGCGCGGAGCAGCCGAAGCTAGGAGACCGGAGGGGCAGAGAAACCCGGCACCCACCGCCCCCGAGCCTCAGCCGGCCAGCGGGGCCGCTGCTCGGTTTACCTTGGTCATGCCAACCCCCACCACGAACACCCGGCGCAGGGGCGCAGGCTCCCACGGGGAAGAGGACATGGCTGCACCAGTGCGGGACAGGGGCCGGCGCGGCGGACGACTGCGGGGACTGACAGGCGCAGACTGCACCGGAGCTCCCTGAGGCCCCGAGGCCAGGGCCGCGGACCGCAACACAGGCGGGTGAGAGTGCGCGTGCGTGGGGGCGGGGCGGGGCGGAGGGGAGGGGAGCAGGGGCGGGGCGCGTCCTGTAGGGTAGGGAGCGTTCTGTAACCCTTGGCGGCAGCAGCACTAATTTGCGGACTTGGGCGTGGGACTGAGTCAGCCAGTCCCCATCTCTGAGCTTGTGCTTAGGTTCTGCACGGTGAGCGGGAGTAGACCTGCAGTGGGGCCTAAGACTGAGAGGAGGAATTGGCGGGAAAGCGGACTGGTGAAAGGTGATCCTGAGGAGAGCCGTTGGGGTTCGTGTTGGAATTGGCCTGTGTCCTGTTAGCGGTGGCAGTTGAGAGTGAATTCATGAATTAAAACTCACAAGACACCAAGAAAGCGGGGATGGGCAGGATCTCACACATGAATACAATGTGTAAATCAAAAAATACAGGCTCCGTAAGCAGCTGCCTGACCTTTTTTAATCTCGTGAACAAAAGTTCTCCAAAAAGGAATTTGGAAGACAGAGACTTTATTCCAGCAAACCGGGTAGAAACAGCCTTCCATGTTTGTCTGTCTGTTTGTTTGTGACGGAGTCTCGCTCTATCGCCCAGGCTGGAGTGCAATGCCGCGAACACGGCTCGCTGCAGCCTCCACCTCCCGAGTTCAAGCACTCCTCCTGCCTCAACCTCCCGAGTATCTGGGATTACAGGCGCACGCCTTCATGCCTGGCTAATTTTTGTGTTTTTAGTAGAGATGGGGTTTTGCCATGTTGGCCAGGCTGGTCTGGAACTCCTGACCTCAGGTGATCTGCCCACCTCGGCCTCGAAAAGTGATGGGATTACAGGCGTGAGCCGCAGTTCCTGGCCCTCTGTTTATTTTATCTTATGTAAAAATGCAGATTCATTGAGCTAGATGAATGCATAAGTGACTATTTCTCTACCCCCCTCTCACATGTGAAGGCTGATCAAAGACTCAGAAGAACGCAACCGTTTGCCTCTTATCTACCCACATATTTTTAAAATTTATTCATCCTTCCCCAATATCTATAAAAACTGAAGCCCTCAAAATCATCTTTAAAGAAAGGCATGGACCTGTTTCCGGGTACGTCCTTAAAGTTGGCAAAATTAACTTCTAAATTAATTGAGATGTTTCATATACTTTTCGGTTTGCAGTATCAGCATGTAGAAAGGCTCTCCTAGAAGATTCTAAAGAGTGCTTCTTGGCTATTTGGCTAAGATCAAGTGTAGAAGATTCTAAGAAGCCGCTCTGTGCTTAGTAAAGAACTACTGAGCTAGAACTAGACCTACTTAGTAAAATCTGCTGGGCTCAGTGGTGCATGCCTCTCCCATCTGCTCAGGTGGCTTCGGTGGAAGGATCACTTGAGCCTGGGAATTCAAGGCTACAACTGTGCTGTGATTACACCTCTGACTAGCCACTGCACTCCAGCCTGGGCAACATACCAAGACCATGTCTCTAAAAAACCAAACAAAACCAAAAAAAAAAAGAAAAACAAGCACAAGTCAGGGCACTGAGGTGTACAGTTGTTTCTTGAAACTGATGGGCTGATAAAGACAGCAGTATGATTCGTGGATCAAACAAAGTTACCAACCTAATAGAACAACAAGTCCTAAGGTCAAGAATGTTATGTAACAAATGCTGGCGGTCCACTGGATATTGCTTTCAAAATAGGAGTCCATAGAGGGGCAGAGGGGATAGATAGTAATATAAAAGGTATTTGTTAATACCAAAAAGATTGAGAAAAAAACACTTCCCTTTCCAATGTGGCGGACTAAATAATCCAAACATTTCCCACTATAAAACACAGACTTTTCTAAGTCATTGGATGTGGGGCTCTGGGGTAGCCTGAGCTGTTTGTCCCACACCAAGATGCTTCAAAACATTATTAAAAATGTTTGGATGCCTGTGAAGCCCTCTTATACCCAAGTTTGTCAGATTTGAGTGGGAATGGGGTTGATGAGCCTCATCATTTATAAAATCAGGAGTACTGATAAAATAAGTAAAATGTTGAAAGCTTCTGCACCTGCTTATGGTCATCATTAACCAGCTTCACTTAGAGTGCACATGAAATGAAACATTAGTTGGCTTGTGAATTTAAGCAAGCTATATTAGAAAGGAACCTGAAAAATCACTGTACACTTGTATAAGTACCACTTACTTTGTGGCATGAATAAGTGTACCAAAAAAAAAAACCATCCAGAAATGCTAGATAAAATACATCAAATATCCTTTTAAGCTGGGTGTGGTGGTATGCGACAGTAGTCCCATCTACTTGGGGAGCTGAGGCAGAAAGGCTGCTTGAGTCCAGGAGTTCAAGGCTGCAGTGAGCTATGATCATGCCTGTGAATAACCACTGCACTCCAGCCTGGACAGCATAGTAAGACCTTTTCTGTAAAAACAAAAAGACAAAAAGCAGCCAGGCACAGTGGTTTATGCCTGTAATCCCAGCACTTTGGGAGGCCAAAATGGGAGGATTGATTGAGCCCAAGAGTTCAAGACCAACCTGGGCAACATCTCTATCTCTAAAAAAAAAGAAGAAAAAGAAGAAAAATCTTTTTAAATGGGTGGAGGCCAGGCATGCTGGCTCACACCTGTAATCCCAGCACTTTGGGAGGCTGAGGTGGGAGGATCACTTGAGGCCAGGAGTTTGAGACCAGCCTGGGCAACATAGGGAGGCCTCTGTCTCTACAAAAAAATTTAAAAATGAGCCGAGTGTGGTGGCCTACACCTGTAGTCCCAGCTACTTGGAAGGCTGAGTCAGGAGGATCCCCTGAGCCCAGGAGTCTGAGAGTGTAGTGAACTGATTGCGCCACTGTACTCCAACCTGGGCAACAGAGTGAGACCCTGTCTCAATAAAATAGAATAAAATAAATGCATGGAATATGGAAGAGGGAGGGTTTTTCTTTTAATCTTATACCCAACTATAGTTTGTATGTTTTGTTTTGTGTTTGTTTTTGTTTTTGTTTTTTTGAGACAGAATCTCACTCTGTTGCCCAGGTCAGAGTGCAGTGGTGTGATCTCAGCTCACTACAACCTCTGCCTCCTGGGTTCAAGTGATTCTTGTGCCTCAGCCTTCTGAGTAGCTGGGATTACAGGCGCAGGCCACCATGCCTGGCTAATTTTTTGTATTTTTAGTGGAGATAGGATTTCACCATGTTGGCCAGGCTGGTCTTGAACTCCTGACCTCAGGTGACGCACCCACCTCAGCCTCCTAAAGTGCTGGGATTACAGGCATGAGCCACCGGGCCTGGCTAGTTAGTATGTTTTGATTTTGTGTATATGTTAGTTTTTTATTTTTGCTAAGGGATGTTTTTAATGTTTGTCATTGTACTTTGTTTTCATTTTCATTATTTATTTTGAATAAGTTATACTTAAAACAAAAATCAAGATTCAAAAAGTATAAAAGGGGCCAGGCATGGTGGTTCACACCTGTAATCTCAGCATTTTGGAAGGCCAAGGCAGGCAAATTGCTTGAGCTCAGGAGTTCGAGACCAACCTTGGCAACGTGGCAAAACCCCATCTCTACAAGAAATACAAAAATTAGCTGATGTTGTGGCATGTACCTGTGGTCCCAGCTACTCAGGAGGGTGAGGTGGGAGGATCACCTAAGCCCAGGAGGCAGAGGCTATAGTAAGCCAAGATACTGCCACTGCGCTCCAATCTGAGCAACAGCAACATCCTGCATCCAAAAAAGTGTAATAGGTCAAACTGTAAAACTTATCTCTCCTACTGCTATTCCCGGCCTCTCAGTTCTCCCCTATCCTTCCAAAGATGTTTTATGTAAATATAATCAAATATACATATACACATGCATACTAATATTATCTCCCTTGTTAACAAAAATTTTCATTTTCTTTATTATTTCTTTTAATAGAGGTGGGGTTTTGCTATATTAGCTAGATTGGTCTTGAACTCCTGGCCTCAAGCAGTCCTCCTGCGTCAGCCTCCCAAAGTGCTAGGTTCATGAGCATGAGCCACCAGACCCAGCCAAATTTTAGCTTTCTTTACACACTATTCTGCATCTTGACTTTTTTCATATACCAATAGATTTTGAAGGTTTCATATCAATGCATAAAGAGCTTCCTGTGTTTTGTTATAGCTGCATAGTATTCAGATTATTGATGTACTTTTTTTTATTTTTTAAAGTAGAGATAGGGGCTTGCTATGTTTCCCGGGCTGGTTTCAAACTCCTGGCTTCCAGTGACCGACCTGCCTTGGCCTTCCAAAGTGCTGGGATAATAGGGTGAGCCACTACACACAGCCCCATAATTTATGTAACCAACCCTCTACTGATGGATATTAAGACTGTGATATAGTTTGGATGTTTGACCCCTCCAAATCTCATGTTGAAATATGATTCCCAATGCTGGAGGTGGGCCCTGTTGTGAGGTGATTGGATCATGGGAACAGATCCTTTGTGAATGGTTTAACGCCATCCCCTTGGTGATAAACTGGGACCTCCCCCCACCTCACTTTCTTGTTCCTATTCTCTCCATGTGACATGCTGGATCCCTGTCACCTTCAGCCATGATTGTAAGCTTCCTGAGGCCTCAGCAGAAGCACCTGCTAGCACCATGTTTCCTGTAAAGCTTGCAGAACTATGAGCCCATTAAACCTCTTTAAAAATTACCCAACCTCAGATATTTCATTATAGCAATGCAAAAATGGCCTAATACAGATGCTTCCAATCTTTTGCTATTATAAACAATGCTGCAATGTACAGCCATGAACACATGTCATTTCACAGCTGTGTGGATTTATCCATAGGTTAAATTTCTAAAATTGGACTTTCCGGGGCAATGAGCTTGTGTATTTATAATTTTGATATAAATTACCAGTTGCTTTTCATTTAAAGACATTCACATCAGCAATGTGAGAGTGCTTTGTATATACTGTGTTTAAAACTAAGGAAAAAAACTTTTTTTAGACGGAGTTTCACTCATTGCCCAGCCTGGAGTGCAGTGGCGCGATCTCGGCTCACTGAACCTGTGCCTTCCGAATTTAAGCGATTCTCCTGCCTCAGCCTCCCAAGTAACTGGGATTACAGGTGCCCGCCACCACGCCCAGCTAA